CCAAAGGACATGTGGGTTGACACTGTGGGTCAATAGGTGGGGCCTATAACCGTGGGACAGGTTCCATAAACGAGGGAGGGCGGTGGGAACAAAGTGACCCACTTGGAAGGGTACAGGAGCAGCAAGCACAGCTGCAGTTCATCCTTTGACAGCCTCCTTGCAGTAAGTGCAATTCACACCGTGGGAGGGCCCAAACCCGTGAGGTGCCATTGGCTGTGGGGCCTGCACTGATTCCTGATCAGGCTTAGCAGTGAGGCTCTGGATCTGCATTTGGCTTTAGTTCTGGCTGCATTCCTTGTACCTGAGGACCAGTCCCTTCAGCGTCGTCGTGGGTTTGTTGGAGTAGTGGCCTGCTCTGGAGATGCTGTCAACCTCCTGCAAATTTGGCTGGCAACGTTTCCGTAACGCAAGGCAGAAGAAGATTGTGTGTTTTTTTTTTTTTGTTTTTTGTTTGTTATACCTCGTTTTATTACTTTCTCTATTAGTGATTCCCAGCTGCGAACGTTTTTTTTTTTTTTTTTTTTTTTTTTTGTCGATGATGGACGTTCGATGTGGGTACCTCATTCGAAGCTCGAGGGAGGTTTTCAAGGGTAGATGACGTAGTTTGTCTTTAGTCTTTGTTGGTTGGAGATATCGCTGGGAGAAACCAGCATTTCGGTGCCAAGGGTGAGTCTGTTTGTGGCGTCCCAGAAGGGGGTAATGTATTTGAGATGTATGGCTATGCCGCTCATTGGTTTGAAGCAGGACTGCGGGTGAGACTGCGGGGTGAGATGTGGAGGAGATCTGCAGCAGTTGGCATGAGATGAGAGAAACTGAGGCTGGGAATTGAACTCACAGTGTCGGGGGCGAGGCTCTGGGGCTCGCCTCAGGGAGAGAACATGTTTCTCAGTCTGGGAGGATCACGGAGGTCGAACTCTGGGAGCTCTAGGAATCGTTGGGGTGCGTTGTTGAAAGAGTCGGGGAGCCCCAGAAAATTTGAGCAAGCAGGGCTCAGTAGACCTCTAGAGAGGTTGCAGCACGCGGAAGGGGATCCTCTGGGAGCGCTCGCCGCAGGAAAGTATGCGAGCAGCTTCAGAGAAAATCAACCTCAGTTCCAGCACAAGAAGTTGACTTGTAGCCCTTCCTTGTGTGATGATCCTGTTCTGAATCCACCCATCGCTAGCCCCTTGCAGAGCTTCACCCCTGCGGAGTCGCCAGGATCGACCCTACCGCCGCTTCTGGACTCCTTGAGTCTGCCGTCCTTTTCTTGGGAGACGGGGTTGATCAGCGACAATGGCTCGCTGCAGAAGGGAGGAAGTTCTGCAGGGGAGGAGGTTCTATCGCGAGATTGGGCGCGGTTTGAAACCGGACGGAAGTCGCAGACGCTGGTTATGGTGAAGAAGATAAAAGATACTCTTGGAAACAAGTTTGCGGATTGTTTGAAGGAGACGATTAAGGAGGTGGTGAAGCGGGAGAAGTTTGAGGATGAGGGCAACGACGGGGATAATGCCTGGCCTAGGTTGACAGAATCGCTGGAGACTTCTCCGAGTGGTAGAAAGGAGGGCCAGTTCCGACTGAGGAGTGGTGTGGCGGGGAATACCTGGGACGGGTTCAATGATGATGGCAGCAGTTCTGTTATTTCAGGTCATCCTATTGCGTCTACCAGCTTGCTCGGGCGGCAAGGCTCCAGTTCATTTTCTTCAATGAACAACTTACCTTTTGAACCAAGCTTTGTTTCACTGCAGGGCGCCCCGTCAACATCGGAGGATAGCTTGAAGGGTAGGCTTGCTGATCACTCGAAAGGGTTGACATCCTGGCCTCCGCATCAAAATCCAGCTCGAGCTCGGAGAGCCGTTGTTGCTGATTTTACTTGGGATGCTGCCAGCAGGGCTCAAGATGCAAAGCTCTCATCTTCTCAGCATTCTTCGCTTTTGGAGTCCAACGACGGTAGCATGATTGATTTTAGTGAACTGCTGAAGGAGGGGATCGAGTCGCGATCTGGAACCTCTCGTGGGGGTGGTATGCGCAAGCACGTGTTTCCCGAAGCGGCAGCAATGGGGATGCGCAGGCCGGTTTCAATCCCTAAACGGGGTGATCCCAGTTCACGGTCAAAGCCAAGCAGCAGCGACTTGTACAATAGCATCAATAATGTTAACGAGGAAGACTCTTTCCTGGATGTTCTCAACCTTCCAGCTATAAAAGGATTGCAGAGCAGTGATAAGGAGTGTGGATTATCCTATTTGAACAATCTGAGGCAGACGACGGAGGTCAAAGCGGAGCTAGGATTGCTGAAGTTTCCTGATCGGCCATCGAACATGACTCTGCAAGGAGATTCCAGGCAATGCTTATTTGACAAGCCTGCTGTGAGTAGTTCTGAATCCACCCGTAAAGCGTTATGGCAAGGGGGCCATGAGGAGACGGGCAATGCTTCCACCTCTTACAATCCTGTGGCCATGTTGCAACTTCCGGGAATCGACCTCTGCAATTCGGGGGAGGGAGGCTCAAAAAGGACGCATGGTGAAACCTCGCCGAGTTCTCAACTTTCCAAGCGCCAATGTATCGGATTGAACCCCTTGGACATTCCAGCAACCATTGACGACGATGGCGAGAACTCGATAGTTGGGTTTGAACAATACTATGCGACGCTGATAGCGAGTGAGCGGGTGCCGTCCTACGAGCTTGGAACCTCCCTTCTTGCCAACCTGCTCTAGGGTGGAATGCCCGACTCGCTTCTACCGCATGGTTTCTCATGAATGTACAATCATTTAGTTTTTTTCGAGCTTCAAGTTCTACTGACGACAATTCAACCATTCTTCCACCCTATTGTTTCTGGTATGAGGAATATCGGAAAAGTTGCGACTGACTGCAGATTCGATCGTCGTCGTGAGGATCGTTTCCACATGTTTGTGTGAAGAGTTTGGATGGACCTGACATCAACTACAGCTCGTGGAGAGCTCATGGTCTTGGTAAGATGTAGTGACTTCAGGAAACTGTCGAGCATCCATCAACCGATTCCCTTCGGAGAGCTTGGGTTCTGAGTCAGTCTGCACTCACACAGTGTGGACAGCAATGAGGAACCGTGTGTTTAATTAACTGTGTTTTTAATTCACTGTGCAAGATAGAGCCTCTATGTTGAAGTTGATGCTTGCACTCATTTACGTTCAGAATAAACCGTCATACTTCGGACACCATTTCTCATTGTAACAGTTCTGTAAATGCATACCTCTTCGTTGAAATTACAATTGCTCTCCTGCCTCCTACTCAACTAGAACTGTTCCAACCTTAGCTTAGCGGTGCACAGTAATTCTCCTGGCATCTTTTATTCACCACATGATTAGCCAGTCCTTGTCTGACTGGCTCCCGCATGATCCATTGCAGGAGATCGTTACTTCCATTGTGGACCATGCCCTGACCTTCTCTGGACCCACCACTCCTCATTGGAGGTTTTCATAATTGTCTCTCTACCTTCATAGTTGGAAGTCGCCCTCTTGATACCAACCACTCCCTGAACTGACTTGGCTGGTTTTCCTGTTAAGAAAGGGCTGTTTCCATCATTCTAGCGTCCTACAAATCAAGTTACTCTTGTGAGATTCTATTCTGGGATTTTTTTTGTTGCTTTAAGGCGATATCATTTGTCTCATCTTTTTGCATAGGAGCACAAATTCTATTGTGTGCGAGTTGAGTGAGCAGAACGCGCAGAGAGAAATTATGTGACATCAATCTGTTATCACGAATGCAAGCATGACGGGCGCAGAAACTTTTAAAGACAAGCCACGATCTGCATCTAAGTCCATAGCTTTGGCCATTGATCAGAGGTGTCAGAATAGGTATACTTTTGCAGGAAACCGGGAGAGATCTGGTTCTCAGCCTGCTTTTCTGAAGGTTTGCTTCTCAGAGACAAGATTAATGGGTGTACCGAAAGCTCGACTTGGCATTGCCAGAGAGGATATGCTCATCGGTGAACTGCACATCTCAGGAACCTCCCACACCTTGCAGTGACAGGTTTAGGTGACAGCTCCAGATGACAGAGACCTCTCATGCTGCTTGCAACCTGCAAGTGGATCACTTGGGTCCAACTTCACCAGCTCAACGTGCATTTGAATAATGTGCAAATTCCCAAAAGCGTGAGAGCTTTTATTCTGCCAGTTGAAAAACCACTTTTTAGTTCATTAAAAAAACAAAAAAAAGAAGAAGCGAGTGTTGGGATTTTTAAAGAATAATTCATATCGAATCATGAGGGAGAACCAGAGCATTCACTGAAAGCAGCAACAGTGTTGGCTTGCAAGCTTGCAACTGTCTTCTGAAAGCGCGAATAATTTTGGTCACTGTAGCTAGCGCTGGAGCTGAGTGGTGAGAAGGGTCTGATTTCAGAACTTCACAGTGTAGAAGATGATGGTTCATCAGAGCCAAAGTTAAGAAAAAAAAGAACCGAAGGAAATAAACAAATAAGTAAATAAATGTAAACACAAAACGAGAAAAACGAAACCAAACAAAACAGAAGGGAGTACAATGAAGACCGAGTTAGGTAGTATCAAAAGCGGGGCTGATTAATGTCGTCGAATCTAGTCGTTTCAAGGATACCCCTCTGTAGTTATGAGAAGTACCTCGTAAAAAGAAAAAGAAAAGGAAAAAAAGACAACAATTTGAATTGATTGACTGCCGTAGTACAAAGGGAGCTGGGGGAAGTGAGAAATGTTCAGCGGATCCAATTGCTTTGCAAATCTACATCAGAATATCTGCAGGGGCGTGGTGTTGGAGAGGAAAAAACTCAATTTCTGAAGAACGAGAGCTCGATTTGAGAATGATTTGTGTGTTCGCACGTGGTAGTGCCGCAGCTTGCAAGGCGAAATTCTGATGAACTCAAAACTCTCTTGATCAGCCTTGGAGGTGTATCCCAATGGTTAGGTCTATGTTCAAGGAATTCAGTACTGCAGCTACAGCAAAGTATTCCATAATTGCCCAAATTTTCTTCAAAACTTTTCAATTGAATTTCCTACAGAATTAAACAAACTCAAACAATATCTCAAGGCTGTATTCCGAGCGAAAATTTTATACGATTTTTTCACCAGGGAGCACATGTTGACATGCAGGCGCACATTGCTGCAACATGATTTTATTCAGCACATCAACACGAACTACTACTTCGTGCACACAGTTGTCCAAATGTGCACGAACTACTAATTCGTCACCGCTGATTATGAATTTGCCATTCTCCAATAATTGAGTACTTTGTCAAGTTAAGTGTTCCTGGTAATGAAGTCACCATCCCGAGCTGATTTACAACTAAATTTCAGCAGTCAAGAATTCTCACTGGAATGAGAAACAGCATGCGGTAACTCATCCTTGTTACGATGCTTGAACGGAAGCATTGTTACACCTTCTCCAGAATGAAGACGTCCAAAAACGCCACTTGAGCTGGAAGAAATCAGTTGACCATGAAAATTTGCAACCTCAACTTCCGATCGCTCTCCATTCAATCCCAAAATCCCATTTTACATCACCTGTAAAGCAACAAATTCCTACAGCAGAGAATGATAAAATCACAAAATGAATATATCATCGTAAAACTGATGTACGACTGATACTGACGCCAGTTGCAAAGAAATGTTTCACCTGCTTCACCTGGAATCTGTGAAAACTAACCTTAAATCCATCCCATTCATTTTCTAGTCCAATTTATCCTAATATTCTTACCAGCCAACTTCCGAAATCCAGAGCCATGTCGCATTTAATAATTGTCGAGCATTGAAATTGCTGTTTAACGTACAAACTCCAACTACCTTGCCGGCAGAGTGTTTGAACCCGTTTATTTTGTATACCATCAGCCGAGATCTGTAGGTTTCCACAAGTCAGGACGATTGATCACTGAGCTCTTTTGTAGCTTCCGGCTGCTGGATGGTGCAGGAGAGGATGGATCAGGTATTATTGAGCGAAGCATTACGAATGCTGGTAAATATTCCACATCAGACACGCTCTCACAACGAAACCGTTCCTCGAAATGAGCACCCCCTCGATAAACGTGTAATTCTTCTTTTTCATCAACTCAGTGTGCCAGTGCTGGCTGAGATACCAAGGGACTAACTGAGAAGAGTATCGAGAGGGGATTTCGCTTAACCAGCAGGAACTTGAGACAGAAGAGGAATTGAGGTTTACCAACCATACTCACAATTTAAAACACAACACATCACTGAGACACCAAAAGATCCGCATCAGCATATCATTCAACCATAAATGCATAAACCTAATGCATTGATTTGTAGAAAATTTGGGTCATTTTTACGAGAATCGATTAAGAAGGAACTTCGAAAGACAACCGAGAATGAGATACACGGAATAGTCATCTGTAGTATCTGAGCCTTAGCGATTCAATTTTCCATGTGAGCGCTCTCCTCACTAGTGACGAAAGAAAAAGAAAAAGAAAAAAGTAGCGTAGAAACCACAATGCAATTGTACAGTTGAATGGCAGAGATCTCGTGATCTCCGCATGCATGTTTAAATGATGCGGAGAGCATTGGAAACCGGGGACGTAAACTATTTCTTGGCACCTACAAAGTGGCAATCCTGCCTGCGATACGCTGCCTATTTACAAGAACTGGAAGCATGAATTGCCACAGTGTCAGCGAAAATTCAATCACAACACCATACCCAGGAAGCCGATACAAGCTATGGCCGTGAACAGAATTGCGAAGGTGGTGATCAGACGCTCTCCCTTGAATCCAGTCGAGATCTTGTCCATGTTGGAAAAGTACTGGTAGACCACGAAGCAGGCGAGCAGTGTGGATATCACAACGGCTCCCAACGTTCCGCGACGCACCATAGCCTCTCCAGGGAGCGAGGCAATGAAGAGGTACACCGCCAGCGGGTAGTCGAGCTCCCCGGGAAGGCTATTACTGTAAAATAGCTTGATCGCCAGACCAATAAAGGCAACCCACAGACCATACTCGCTCTTGGCCCAGTACACCACATCCCTCGGCGCTTCCAAGGCGAGTATGGCCGCGTAGAACTGCTTCTTCGCCCCTGCGTCCCGTTTCATGAGCAGCACCGCACAGGCTGCGGCTAGCCCCCATCGAATCGCCTCAGTCGAAACCCCATGAAGGCCGTAGAATCCATATGCACACGTGCTCCCGAGCGCTCCCCCGCTGCCTGATCCAGCACTTCCATAAGAGACGACGCTCCCCCAAAGAGACCCCCCGAAGACAGACGACGAAGATGATGACGAAGACCCCACCAAAGTAGTCTGACACTGGAAAGCCTTGCGCCGAATCCCCGATCGAGCTCTTAAATCCACACCCCCTAATGCTATAACCGATGGACTAGACCCCTTTCTCGATTCTGCACCGATTGCGGCCCTAATGCCAACCTTCGCACCGGGAACAGTATAGCTCAGGTGAACGATGTGAGAGGCCATCGCTACTGACAATCACGACTCAAAATCGTTTCGCACGATTCAAGAAGCACCGATCGATCAGATACTTCTCACTAGATCAACTAGACGAACAAACCACTACCAAGACCTCCACTCGATGATGAACTTCCAATTCGAAGTAACTAAACAACACCAGAAGTCGTTTGCAGCGTCTGAACTTGGTTCGCTGCAGGCACATGCTCAGAAACGAAAGCACGGGGGCGATTTATCCAGCACGGACATCGTCATTTCGAGCAATGGACGTCCAGAATCACTGGGCACCGTCCGCTCATCGCCTGACCCATGCACGGAATCCCCACACTCGCAGCGTACGGTAGTGGATCGATGAGGCACAGCTCCGGCCAATTCTCATCCCAGAGCTCGGGTCGAAAGACGGATCGATGCTTCTGAATTGAGGGGAGAGAGAATTGTCCATCGCGATCGATGGAATTGATGGGTGCCCCCCGCAGAGCATTGCTCGGCTCGTGACCGCGCTTCGCCGCGCTTCCGTCACTTGCTCCGTAGACTGGGTCGCGCCAGTTGGTGAGGTGCCAAGTGTCGGCGCGTGGGTCGTCTCTACCCATCTAGATTGGTGGAGCCGAGTGGGCTCCCGCCACGTGGTAGATGCTGATTTTATTGCTGATGTGGCAAAATCGAGGACGTGGATGGGTCTGTAAAGTATCTGGCGTGGATAGAATGAATATCATCCACATATAAGGGGATTTTGTCTTGTCCACATTCATCCAACCAGTTCTATTGAGTTTGCCTTGAGGGTGATGCCCCCTTTTAAATTGATTGAATGAATGAATGAATAAAGGATTGAATGATGCACCCTTTTAAAGAGTGGATGATTTCATTGTTTAATATTAAGCGCAATATGCAAGACCATGCATGTTGTACTCATTGATAGGAAAAAAGATACATTGTAGATTATAGTTTTTTTTTTTTTTTTTTTTTTTTTTTTTAAATAAAAAACACAATATTAAGTTATTAAGTGAACATAATCATTCTTCTTTCATAATTTCTTACATTATTTCAATGCCTAGATTATGTATTAATCACTATGTTTATGTTCCAAAATCTTTTCTTGGTATATTCTTTTTTATAGTTTTATAGTTTTTTGAAAACTGAAAAAAGAACAAAAAAATACAAGAAATATATGCATTTTAATGCAAATTTTAAACCTTGTGAGAATCGTGTGCAAAAGTAATTTTTTAATATATAATTAGTAAAAAGAATTAAATATAATCTAATAGACTTATTTTCAGAAAACTTTGGTGTAATAGAATACAAAATTTATATGCTTAATTTATTTATTCATTTGAGTTGTGTAAGTAAATTTTTTATTACTTGGTTTATAATACTCCCTACAAGACTTCCTCTTTCAACAATCTTGTTTAAAAAACAATTTCATCTGAATTCTTTGAAATATTTTTATGAATAATTTTATAACATTGTTATTTGAAATCTAAAAATATTGTTTGATATCTTTCAGTTTTATTTTTTATTTTTTATTTTTTATTTTATTTTAAATTAATGATCATTGTAGTTTTTTTTTTTTTTTTTTTTTTTTAATAAAAATAATACATGAATAATTGTGATGTTAGTTTTATTGTTTTAATTTGTTTTGTCTTATTTTTTTTTATCTTTCAAATTCATATTATTATCACTTAACAACATTAAATTTAAATTAGATACTTCTACCAAGTATAAGAATAATTACTTAAAGAAGTTGGAAGATCAAACTTAATTTTAATACATAATAAACTTGTAAAGGAAAATAGATATTCAAATAGACTAAATTCTAAATTCCATTTCTTTTTTGTAATATAGATTTTGTTCTTTTGTATTTTTAATAGAATAAAATTTTAATAAATTAAAAAAATATTTTAGACAAATTATTTGTGATTAATATAATATTATATAGAAGATATATTATTTTTGAAAATTTTATAATTATTATTAATTATTTTCTACAAATATAAATTTTTATTTTGATAAAGTAATCATTAGGTTTATACTACAAAGTATAATAAAATCATAGATTTGAGCTATTAGAGAATTGTGAAAAATATAAGTAATCTTAAATTTTTCCAAAAAATAGATTTTATTGTAAGTAATCTCTTATTTAGTATTTGATTTCAATGTACTATCCTATGCTTATATATAAAATGACCATGATATTTTTAATGAATGAATTTATCTATATATATATATATATATATATGTGTGTGTGTGTGTGTGTGTGTGTGTGTATTTTTAAAATTTAAAATTTTCATTAAAAGTGATTGTACTAAGTTACAATTACTTTTAATACAAATATTATATAATAAATTAGAACATTTTTTTATTTTTAGGTTTTTTTTTTTTTCTTCTTTTTTCCTCAACGAGGATATATTTCATAAATTAATAGTAAATAAAATAATTACAGAGCATCAATAATTCCTACAACTTGGTATTAAAACAAGCAAGATTCTATAAATGTTTTGTATACATAAATATTAGATTATTTACATATCTTTGACTATAGAGATTATTAGACTTGTGGAAAGAGTTCTTAAGTTGTATCTAATTTTTGTGTCTCTTGCAAAGTACAAAAACATTTTAGTCATCCAATTTGCATCTCAATTGCAAAATATTACTTTCTTTTTATTAAATTGCTTATATTGTTTTGTATGTAACTTTCAAATACATTCTTTTATTATCAAAGAAGCTTAATTATATTACTCTTTTAATATTGATATTATTCTATTTTTATCTAAATAAAAAATATTTCATTTATATCTATCTCATCTATAAATATATGTTTTAGAAGAAATACCAAATTCTTTTTAACCTTCTAAATACAAAATGAATGTCTTTTAAAAAAAAATGATTGGTATACAAATGCTTTTTAAAGTCTCTATTTTGTAGCACTTATGATTAGTTTATTGTCAAGGACAAGAAATCAAAAACAATATGTAAAGAAGTGAAAAATGAACCAAAGAGAGAAAATGAAATAGAAATAAGAAAGTAAATATATTTAATAAAAAATTAGAATGGTAATTGTCAAAGGCAGAAAAACTAGAGACTCTTGAAACTAGACTATAAGCAAGAAAGGAGTTGATAAGAGTGAAGAAGGCTTTACTCTTGCCTCTATATATACTATCTATCTAAAAGCTACGTGGCAAAATTCTATATAACCTCTATCACATGTCCAATTTGCAAGACACATGTCTTAACTTGTAAGACAAGTTTCTTATATATGTGCCACATTGTTAGCTTGTACAACAAGCTACTAATATGTGTGACATGTGGTTAACTTGTTGACCAAGTTTCTAACCTATCAATCACATGTACACATATATAAAGGTGAAATCGTGTCTATTAGGCTTCTAGGAAGCTACTCTATAAGACAGTATCAAATACTTACTTTTACCTACTTTTACCTACTTCTATATATTCATATTATCTGAATAATTATAAGTATGTCTATGACATTTATACATGTATAATATTGTCAAATGTTATATATATTTGATTTAAGAATAATCTCAATATATATATATATATATATACATATAATAATTTTTAATTAATAAAAATCATATATTTTATATAATTCAAAGGTCTCACTATTATTTAAGTGCTCTATATTTTAATTTCTACTATTTAATGCCATGTAAGCTAAATAAATATTAATTGTTTATAAGTATGATTTGAACTACATATCTTTCTTGTTAGAAATGAATTAGAATCTAAAATATTGTATTATTTCTTATCTTTCTGTTTATAAGTTGAATAAGTTCTTTATAAAAACCACTTAGAATTTTTTGTGTTTATAGGTCACCAAATTACAGGGAAACTTGATACAACTGTGTGTAAAACAATTTGGAGTGTGCTCAAAGCATGAGCTTTTAGTATATCACTCTCTAGTGTGATATAATAAAATCACATAACTATTTCTACTTGCTGATGCCCAGTGCTATCATACCTGATGTTTGCTTTGTTAATAAACTTACAATGAACTTATCAACCTGCTGTGTAGCTATTCAAACTTGACAGTTTTCACAACAATGTGTATAACCCACCTCAACATTTCACACTTAGGAGATTCATCTCACATTTGCGCGTCCCAGTTATTGATCAGTCTTGAAAGATATTCTTTCTGATGTCAACACAAACCGTAGTCTAAGTCTGTGGCCTGCAGTAGCTGAGTTGTGTTTGTTTGAATCTGAGTCAAACATGAGTATCATATTCTCGCTGACCATTTTCCAGGAGACTCCAAAAGCAGACGATTCGTGCGTGGGAAGTCTCTGTCAATAGTACCGATCCTTCCTGTTTTATCGCTATATTCGTATTTTCAATGTTAAGCGCGAGTTTTACCCCGAATGAAGTATAACTTTTCTGTAAAGAGGATGTTCATTCTGACAGGTTCCTGCTGTAGAGTTGTTTACTGTAGCGAAAGTTACACGCGTCACCTTTGAATTTATAGATTTCAGTCATCGTCAGTTTATGACGTTGATGTTGTTAAAAGATGATGTGATATTAAGTAACAAGCTCGGCCGTTATGTGTAAATGCTGATGAACATAGTCAAATGGACTGGCAAGAGTCATAATGATTTGTACTTTCATTAATGCAGATAAGCCACCAGGTTACGATCTTGGTATGGTAATTATTTCGACTACTTACCTGGACTAAGGCCACTTGTCAAAAAGGGTGAAAGCTGACGCACCTATGATACAAACATGAGTTAGTTTTACTTCCGAGGAAAAGCTTTGATTTCGGATTGGTCTCGAGGTTTGGAAAAGAAAAGAGAAAAAAGAAGAAAGAGAAAAAACTTTTGTGCCCAAAGGTCTTATCTAACTTTGTAGTTGTAACATTCAAGTACGATCCTCGAAGTTCGACATCAATGTGTAGTGTGAAGTCTTTGAGGCAAGCCCACTTCTCTACAAATGGGAGGGATTTTCAATCGAACTATTTCCAAACTGACTCCACTCCTTGTGTACATCAGTGTCATGGAGACGAAAGTAGTGTCACGGAAACAAGTCTATAACAAAGTGAAACCGAAGGGACAGAAAAAATGGACATCAAACCAAACGAATGGAATACGATCAACACTATTAGAGAGTAATAAAGTTGGCATTCAACCATTTTCACCGTCTTACATTTCTTCTCTAAGCTTGTCCACTGGAAGTCTAACCTTTCCTTGATTCCTTCAAATATTCCTGCTCAGGATATTGGGACAGCTCAAGGTAAGCTCCCATGGTCCTTGTCAAGCTAACAAGAGTCGGCATCTTTCCCCGCTAATCAAAGGTACTCTTGGAGAAAAGCAAGCCACGAAAGGAAACCAAAAAAATTCGTCACTAGTAGCCAGGCAATCTGAGTTCTTTAGTGGCAAGACATCTCGTAAGGAACGAAGCCCTCAAGCTCAGGTCCATTCAGACGAGGGTTGTTATCAAAGCTACAAACATCCCAACACAAACCCATCTCTTGTTAGAAAATTGGAAAACTAGAATTATATAACATTGACACATATAGTTACATAGAATTGAATATTAAACAGATCAATTTCAAATATAATGTGCATAGGCTCAGTGAAATTTGAGATGATCCATGCAAAACGAATAAGATAACGCAAGAACCAGTAACTGAAAAAGCGCCTTTCTTCGACAAAGGGGGAACACACCTCTTGGCTTGAAGATGACTGAAAGAGCCCGTGACCGGAATTGTGCCGCACAAGTCATTGTTTGAAAAATCGCTACAATTCACGTTACAACGAGTAAAAAGAAATTACTGACTGTAATGTCCATGTTGCTAAGAACTATATAAGAATACATTTCGTAACATGCATCATAAAATCCAAGCAAATGAAATGTTGTTAAGTAGGAAAATTTCCTAGCAATACATCAAAACCGAGAAACCAGGCCTATTGGGTCGTGGTCGTAGTCCAAAATGGGTTCATAAAAATGACTTACACAGCTTTGAGGGTGGTGATTGACGTCAATTCACGTGGAATACGACCAGTCAGCTTGTTATTGTTCAGACGTCTGAAGCCAGTATCAAGCCTTCATTAAAACCTTGTAAAGGAAAATAGAAACACCAGAATTTGAACATTCTGCTACATAAATCGAACCATCTCGCTAATCAAATTAAAAGAACATAAAACAGCCAGGGCCGAGTTGAAGGTTCCCAAAACCACAGGAAATTCTAAAGCAAAGTAATGAGTATTAGTGACTCACAGAAATGCCAGATTGGATAGCTTTCCAAGAGAGCGAGGAATGGAGCCTGTAAAATTGTTGTGGTACAAGTCCAAACTCACGAGAGACTTCAGGATACCAGCAGAGTACAGCCAAATGAAGGTCAGAAAAACGTTGTTGTTAAAGTTCACGCGACTAGGAACTGATTAAAAACCATGATTTGTGAGGTCCACATTAAAGCTTACCTTCAACTTGCCAAGTTCCGAGGGAATGTGACCAGTGAGGCTGTTCTTGTACAACTCCCTGACCACATTGAGATTTTCCAGAGAAGTGTTATTGTTTCTCATAAACATATCCTTAATCTTACCTTCTCAATTACTACATCGGTATTAAAGGTTGCAGCAATGTGCATCATGGATAGAAAGTGTCCACAATACAAGACGCGTAATTGTGAACAATGTTACGAGTGAAAGAACAATCTTTCATAACTCACAGGTACTGCAGGTTCTGAAGTGCTCCAAGTTCAGAGACCAAAGAGCCGGACAGGCGAGCATTCCCAAGATCCCTGTACAAGCAGAAACCGCTTAATAGATGGCCTGTATAGTAATTCACCCACCAAGCGTTGTTCAATAGAGCACATGGAGTGAATTGGAAGGTGCCTTGGTGCACAGATCGGGTAGGGTAAAATGTTGTACGTACACTCGGATGACTCGATTTTGGCCGTCACACGTCACATGGAACCAGGTGCAAGGATTGACCAAGGTAGGATCCCAGCTTTGCACACATTCGATGGATCAGTCAAACTCCGGCGGAGAGCATACAGCGCATCTCCTTCAGAGTTAGCAAGTGCGGCAGGTAGAAGAGCGCCAACCAACAATGCATACAAAACCAATCTTCCACCTGAGTTCTCCATTTTCAGCAAAGCCTACACCACAAGAGAAGAAAAATACATCAACAACCCACAACAGCAGCATCATTCAAAAAACACAAAATCTAGTAATCTCACTCTAAACTGGCAGACAAAAACACTCCAAATTCCACCACATGATCTCAAAAGTAATTTCAAAGCAAATCCAGGACCCACGAAAGAAACCGCCCTCACAAAAACCAACTACCACCCACAAACACACACTCACGCGTCCAACACAAGACTATCATCGACCACCCAGTGACACCACTACCCAAAGAGGGTAATCAACCCAACAACACTAATAGCAACAACAAAAACAACCCCTTGTTACATCCAAACCCAGCGAAAACAAAGTTGGGAAGGAAGACGACACAGCGAGAAGTCTAGTCTAGGCAACTGCAGCAACACAAGAGACGATCGCAAGGAGGGCGGGAGGGAGGGAGGGAGAGGGAGAGAGAGCGAGAGAGAGAGTAGAAGAACAGAGAACAGGAGGGAGGGATGAAGCTTACACAGCTGCAGCAAGCATGCAAGCAAGCAAGCGAGCAAGCAAGCGAGCAAGCAACCCCAAAGCGGTGCAGCGAGTGAAATCTGTGTGGCGCTGTGCTGTGCTGCAATAATAATGCTGGTCTTCTTCTTCCACACACAATCAAAAGAAGGTCTCGGTCTTGTTGTTGTTCTTCTTCTTCCCCGAGCCCAGCAGGTACAACAACAACTACAGCAGCAGCAGCACAAATCTGAGGGAGGAGGAGGAAGAGACCCAGCGCAGCCCAGCAGTAGGTACGGCGAGAGAGAGGCAAAGAGGGGGGGGGGGGGGGGGGGACGGGGGCAGGAAGAGTGTGAGAGTGTTACCCATCCATGACTTGATTGCCCTCTCTTCTTACCCCTTCTTCATCTTCACCTTCATCATCGCCCTTAAGATTAAGATTAAGATTAGCCCTCTAATTAATCACAAAACACAATTACTCCAATTTACCCATCCCTTCATCCATCTTCATCCATCCATCCATCATGCCTCCTCTGTCACCACCACCTCGTTGCGGTGGGTACGACTAACCCATCATCAAGACCCACCAGGATCGTCCTGGAATGCAAGAAATAAAGGAAAAGGAAAGGGAAAAGATGAAAAGATACAACAACTTCCTTCACACACACACTCTAACCAGAGCACCCCCACCCCTCAAAGCTAAAGCTAAGCTAATATCTCTCAATCTCTCTGCGTCTCTCTTTCGCTCTTCACGTCTCTCTCTCGGACAAGCCTGGCTGGGTTGCACGAGGACTGGTGGGGGTGGGGAATCCATGGCAATCCATCTTATGGAAGGAAGGGGGCGTCAGAGGGAGGGACGGGGGGGGCATGTCTGCAATCAGAACGGGGGCATGTGTGGGAATTGAATTAAAAAGAGAGTTGAATTGAATTAAAAAGAGAGTTGAATTGAATTGAATTGAATTAAAAAGAGAGTTGAATTGAATTGAATTGAATGGAACGGGGGCTGCTTTGAATGGCGCTCCTTCCTTCCTTTCCATGGGAGGGAGGGAAGCCCCAGCCCCACCCCTGGTCACCCGTTGCCTTCTTTGTCCCTCCCGCCACGTGTCGGTCACCCCCACTTCTCAGGGAATATATGACCCTTCCTTCATTCATTCAATGACGAAACCAACCAAAAAAAAAAAAAAAAAAAAAAAAAAAACTTTGATGTCAGAAAATATATATAATAAAAATAGAAACATATATCTTTTCTTCTTTCTTCAACCTCCTTGAAGTGTGTTTAATCCCTCTGTCTGAGCCTTTTCTTCTTTGTCTTCTTCTTATAAGATTCTAAAGACTTTATATTTCATATTTATTTTTTAATATTTTTTCTATTTTTATAGATTAAAATAGTCTTTTTTGGGAATATTTAAGCATCTGACATGCTTTCTTCATTTATCTTCTTCTTGTGATACTTTCATTTTGGTTTGTTTATTTGCATTAGATTGTAAAAATGATTGATTAAAGATAGACAATCCATTTCCAATAACTTAAGTATTTTAGCATACATCTAATAGGTGTGAAAATGGGAAAAAAAAATACTCCTACATAAAAAAATAGAAATCATGAGGATTCCAAGTGTTTCATACAATTTGGTCTAAAAATAAAATTTATATAAATATTTAGTTGAAGATTCTCTTTGACTTAGTTTGGACATATAAGCCTACCTATTTTGATTAGTGGTGTGTTACAAAACCAAGAATTCAACTTTTACAAAATTGTAATGTGTAACATCTATAAATGCTACTAAAATTAACCTAATTTTGTGCTATCTATGAATATAAAGGTATGGATGAGACCACAAATACTAAGACTTCCAATTATAAGTAATCCATCATATTCAAGTTGGATTTTTGCCACCATTCTTCTTTATTTATACTCATCTCCAAACAATATTTCATATATCTTCCATCTTCTAATTTTGCTCTAACGATTCTCTCATTGGTCAATACAAAATCAACGATGGCATATATACAACTCCACTAATATAAAAATTGATTTTTGATATTTCACATATATCAATTTGAAGTGTAGTTAATTGTTTATATTATTCATAATTTAATATTATTTCCGCTAAGCTCCAAACCAATTTCTAAGCACAAAATATCAAAATTGGTTGACAATAGGTTGCCAACCTATCAAAAATATTCTATCTTACAAGTTGAAAATGAAGAGATGGTTGTGTCAAGGACAAGAACGAAAAGATGATACATAAACCAATGAAATCCATGTCAAAGAAAGAGTAAAAAAATAGAATTAAGAAAGTACGTATATATAAAAAAAATTTGGAATGATTTAATGTCAAAAGATAAGAAAACTTGAGATTCTTGAAATTAGACTAGAAGCAAGAAAAGAATTGACAAGAGTGAAGTGGGCTTCACTCTTGTCTTTATATATACTATTTAACTAGGGGATTCGTGGCGATGTTCTATAGGACCTCTAATATGTCTTGACTTTGTAGGACACATGCTTTGACTTACAAGGCAAGTTTTTCTATGTGTGGACCACATAGTTAGCTTGGTCTTCAAGCTAACAACATGTGTGGCACATGGCTAACTTGTTGATCACTTTTCTAATCCAAAATATCAATTAAAGACACTTATAAAGTCAAAGCAACGTCTATTAAGCTTCTAAAAAGCTTCTACATAAGATATTATAGAATTAACTTAATTTTAACAATTTCTACTTACTTCTATCTATTTATAGAGGTAATTATTGGCTTACATGTGTATGTCCATGACATTACTCCCCCTTCTAAGGACGAGTTCCACAAGGAGCGGTCATCTTATATTGAAGAAATCTATGATGCGACGAATTATATTTGCGACATATTCAGATCTTTATTCTCTTGAAAGATGGTTGATAGGGCCTGTCAACCATCAATAGTGTCCCCATATCAAGGCGAGAAGACCACCTTGTTATTTGATCATTGTTGAGGCCTTCATAACTTCCTTCAAATAAAACATTTGGAACATTGTTAGGAGTTGTTCTACCTCTAATAAAATTACCAAACATCGAGAGTCTCTTCCAAGATTGTAATACCAAACGCATTGTATCTTGCCATCTATTGAAGGAAAAATATGTCGATCTTGAGGATCTTCATCTTGATTGCATCGTCTTGAAGGTTGTAATAATTATAATGTCTTGTCTAGTAGGTCAACAAACAAAGGTTCTTTAGTCAAATCCACAAGTTGTTGGTTCTCTATCTTTTTAGCATCACAACTAAAAAAAAGCTACGAACAAGGATTGAAAGTAGAATTTTATCTTGTCTAGATCTTGTTTCTTTATAAAGAAGGTTTTTATTTTAATTTTGATAGATGTCATCGATGAAAAGCCTCGACCGCCTTTGCTGCATTTGCAAGATTCTTTACTGACTCCCATGTGCATTCACTAATATCATATCCGAGTAAATTGATAATATATTCAAATTTATCTTGGTGTCCCTTTGAATATATTATATCTATTGACAAGGTAATGATAACATGTGCTTTTGAAGCATATGTAATGATATGTTCAAAGATTCTTTTAAGAAAAGAATTATTTTTTAGAATTTATAAACAAAAAAAAATATTGAAAAAGATAAGAGAAAGAAGAAGACCAGAGTTACCATCAAATTTTGATGAATTGGCTCAATTGATTGAAGAATGTTGGCATTTTAATCCTTTACAACAACCAAAGTTTGGAGATATTTGTAAGAGACTTGCAAGTTTAAAGACAAAGTTTTTGATTGGATTTTATGAAGATAATGGCCCTTTTTTTAGTGGTTCAAAGAAAAAAGATCACCAAATTATTATTAAAAGAAAAAAAAGAAAAAAAAAATATGGTGATAATGAAATAGTAATGTTTGGAATTACTTATGTTTTATTTGTTTGATTGATTGATGTAGATATGAAACAGATTTAGGTAGTTGAATGGTATATGTAAAGAAAATATATATATATATATATATATATATATATATGAGTATTACTTTACATCATGTTGTCATGGACATACACAGTTAAGCCAATAATTACCTCTATAAATAAATAGAAGTAAGTAAAAGTAGGTAAAAGTAAGTTAATTCTATAATATTTTGTATGAAAGCTTCTTAGAAGCTTAATAGACGTTGCTTTGACTTTATAGGTGTCTTTAATTGACATTTTGGATTAAAAAAGTGATCAACAAGTGGCCATGTGCTACACATGTTGTTAGCTTGAAGACCAAGTTAACTATGTGGCCCACATATAGAAAAACTTGCCTTGTAAGTTAAGGCATGTGTCCTACAAAGTCAAGACATATTAGAGGTCCTATAGAACATTGCCACGAAGATCCTAGTTAAATAGTATATATAAAGACAAGAGTGAAGTCCACTTCACTCTTGTCAATTCTTTTCTTGCTTCTAGTCTAATTTCAAGGGTCTCTAGTTTTCTTATCTTTTGGCAATAGCCATTCTAGTTTCTTTCTTAATATACATATTGAGTTATTTCTATTTTTTCATCTTTCTTTGAGAGAAGTCTCACTTGTTTATTTTTCTTTTATCAAGTTCTTGTCCTTGAGAGATTGACAAGATTATATTTACAATATCAGAGCTTTGTCTAATCTTGATTAAGAGTGGATTATTCCCTTTTCTTGATAAGACATAAGCATATTAGAAGTTGCAGATTATGCTCTTCTAAACTGATATTGTCTTTAGTATTTTCTTTGTTCTCAAGTCCTCTCTTCTATTTGTCTTGAGCGATAATAAACATCTTTTTTTTCTAAGTGTTATCATGGCAAAACTTGCCAAAATGAAGAGTGCAATGGCACAAATGCAAGAGCAATTGAGGAAGTTAATGCTTACAATGCATCAATTCAATTTACCTCCACGAGGAGCAACAAGATTAGTCAGAAGTGAAGATATAGAAATGATTGGAGCTGCTTCAACATCTGCATCAAATCATGTTTCTTCTCCTATCGTGGAATTCCCTTCCAATACTAGAGAACCTAGAATTATCTTACCCGAGAAGTTTGATGGCACAACATCAAAGTTGAGAGGATTTATCAATCAAGTACAACTTGAGATTGAACTTCAACCCCAAAGCTATCCAACTCCAGGATCGCAAGTTAGATTCATTGGTACGCTTCTTTCAGATTCAGTATTATCATGGTTTTCATCTTTTTTTGAACGATGAGATCCAATATCGGATAATTAGGAGGCTTTTTTGGTAAAATTTTCATCCATGTATGGAAAACATGATGTAATTTGTGTTGCAACCAACAAGATCCATATTCTGCGATAAGGGATTCGATCAATA